GTCATATTTTTATATACCTTCCCAACACTTGTCCTACTTAAATCATATCTTTATATGCCTTCCCAACACTTGCCTACTTAAATCATATTTTTATATGCCTTCCCAACACTTGCCTACTTAAATCATATTTTTATATACCTTCCCAACACTTGCCTACTTAAATCATATCTTTATATGCCTTCCCAACACTTGCCTACTTAAATCATATTTTTATATGCCTTCCCAACACTTGCCTACTTAAATCATGTTTTCATTTCTTCCAAAGAATTGCATACTTATGGAATATCATCAACAGGTAGGAACACACTACGTGTTTCGACAGAATATTGGTCTGTCTTCTTCAGGTATGATCAATACTAAGCTATATAAGGATTAAGTAAGGTGGAAATAATGTCAGCAGGTGAGCGGATATAGTTAAAGGTTAAGTCTGGTCAGTGAATAGAGCTTGCCAAATACGGTTTATGTTACTGGAACCATTATCACTGTTTAGTGAGAAATTGTTAGCTTTGATGATTTCTATAGTTTCTAAACAGTCTCTTTCTTTTTTCGTTTTGGGTTGGTGTAGTAGGATAATTTCATTACACAGTATTTTGTGACCTGTTTCATATTGATGATATGTTAGGGCAGGTGTCTGGAATTGACCTCTACGCATGTGACCTTGGTGTTCTTTGAATCTTATTTCTGAAGAGTGTGATGTTTTGTCCTATGTATTTCTTGCCACATTCATGAGGGATACTATAGATGCCCTGCTTTCGTTCTTTGGGTAGAGATTCTTTTGCATTCGGTAGTAAGGTATTAATTTTATGTGAAGGTATGTATACAGTTTTTACGTCAATGTTCAAACTATTAAAATGTCTAGAGATTTTGTTTGTAATTTCTTGAACAAAAGGGGAATGAAACAAATTTATTGTGCTTTTGGTTATTGGTAGGTGTAAGTTTGGAATTAGTCCAGAGTCTATTATAACATTTTGCTTACCTTTAACATACTTAAAATATTCTTGTTGTTAATTTCAATTCTTTCAGCTAGCTGTCTTTCATAAGGCATCTTTTATTTTGTGTTTTTTTCAAAACTAAATCCCCTAGTGTCCAGTCCAGGAGAAGTCTTCTCCTGGACATAAGACCTTGATGATGCTATGAAGGTTCCTGAAACTGAACAGCCTACAACTACAGACTCAGAATGATTGGCTGATGTCTGGTGCACCTAGCCCACTAGATCAAACCTTATCTTGGGGTAAGGGAAACAATGACTACTGAGAATTGCTGAGATTGAATGGTTCCTGGCAAGTCTGAGACCTTTTGGGAAGGTCTCTATTGCCAGCCAGAGTACCACAGCCTAAGCTCTGGTCAAGAACACCCACAACCAGCTGAGAAGGACTGTAAGTGCTGCTGGTGCACAACTTCTCCCAGTCACATCTGTAAACCTTCCATATTATCTGGCAGTTTAAACTTGTGCTATTTATCTTTGATTTTTATAGCTTTAGTAAGCCAATTAGGTTTGATTATCCTTGGTGTCACCTTTCTGTTTTTAAAAGCATTATGAGCAACTTAATTTTGAAAACTTTCATAAAGTGGTGTCACTTCACTTTTTAACTTATTATTACAATTCACTAATGATAAGTCTTGTCACATGACCTCAAAATTAGATTTCTGAAAATTAGGAAGTAAAATGACATTTTTTGTTATCTCTGCAAATATCATATCCTCAAACCTTATTCTATAATCCTCATTTTAACTCTTCCAACCACATGAGAATTCTGTAGATTTCTACAGATCTAGATTACCAAAAGTTCTGTAGAGATTGATTCATGTTCAAGGATAAAATTTGATGGTGGGGGAGGAGTATGTTTGGCTGTTAGGGCCTGATCATGACTGGTAGTGGAGGTCACTGTTACATTTATTACACTTGACAAGAGCTCCCTATCTTTACAAGTTGTGATAACATTTCTGATAGCATCAGAGATACAGCATCTAGTTTGAGAACTAGGTGATTCTATGATGATGATGATGATAGGCTGTACGTGAATAGTCAGTTGTCCTGCTGCAATGAGTAATGATGGAAGAAAAAACAAGGGAATCCTTACATCATTAATTGATAAAAAATTTGCATACCGTGAACTTCATATATATAAAAATTACCAAAGTTTAATTTAATCATATGATGCATTTCTATCATTAAAATGCACAGGTTATTAAAAGTAGAAAATAAACTTTTCAATAAACATACCCCTCTTTAGGTTCTTCATTGTAATTGTTAAGCAGCACTATCACAGCCCACAAATATACTAAGGACCTGGCCACACAACTGATACAATCAATATTTAAAAACATTAAAAACATCTGAAGACAGGACAAGTCTCCTATATCACACGATGAAGTTTAGTGAAGCTAGTTTCAATGTATAGGTACTAAGAGGCATCCACTCCAGTAAGTACTGAAGAATTTGATCAGAATAAGTTATCTTCTCATAATGTTAGCATCAACTTCAATCTTCACGTCAATTCTTACCATGCTATCTCGAACTAGAACTACTATTCGCTAAGTGGAAAAGCATGTAGGAAGTACTATTTGCATAATAAAAAAATGTACAACTCTATACGTTAAAAATAGATGAAGATAAATAATAATACATTAATTAAAGTGACTAAGAATTTAATTCACTCTTTTCAGATAGGTAGAATTCACTATATAGTTTAGTGTATTAGTATAGTTAGTTAATACAAGTATAAATAACACATTTGAGATGGGATAAGTATTTAATTGTTTCAGTGTCATTATTTTTAAAAGTTTCTAATATTTTCACTATTGGATGTCATCACAAAATGTTGCTTATTCATGAATATTTCTCATTCATAATGATCAATCACTTTGTAATAAATACTGTCAATTGAAAGTTTCCAGATGCGGAACAACCATATTTAAACAAACTTCATATTCTCGTTGGTTTGGTCTGCTAAGAATCTTTGTTGTAACTGATGTCATTGTTTCTTTAAATATTCTACATATTTACCAGCAGTTCATAGTGATTAATCACTTTGTAATAAATACTGTCAATTGAAAGTTTCCAGACACGGAACAACCATATTTAAACAAACTTCATATTCTCGTTTGTTTGGTCTGCTAAGAATCTTTGTTGTAACTGATGTCATTGTTCCTTTAAATATTCTACGTATTTACCAGCAGTTCATACTGATTAATCATTGGATAATGAAACTGTTAATTGACAGCTTAATAAACATGGTACAACATTATTTAAGTAAATTTCACATTTGACTTGTTTATTACATCATTCCACTAAATTCAACCATAACTGATACCTCAAATTAGGCAAGGTAAGGTAGTCGTATCAGTAAATATTCTAGTTATATAGCAGTAATTCTATTTTGTATAATGTTTGAAAACATAAGAAATGAAAGTAAAAAAAGAAATTTCTTATGACCATGTTTTTTCCTAATTTTCTGCAGCTGTAAATTTCTTGATTTTCTTCAGATTTTTCAAGGGCCCACTCAAATGCATGTAAACAATAAATCTAACATAGCATTCCATCTGGTTGGCTCTCTGATCACTTGGTATAGACCATATTGAATCACTTCAAGAAACTTCTCTTCTTTACTGCAGCATTCCATCTGGTTGGCTCTCTGATCACTTGGTATAGACCATATTGAATCACTTCAAGAAACTTCTCTTCTTTACTGCAGCATTCCACCTGCTTGACTCTCTGATCACTTGGTATAGACCATATTGAATCACTTCAAGAAACTTCTCTTCTTTACTACAGCATTCCACCTGGTTGG